TAAAGCTGCAGGAGGGTAGAGTTTGGGAACACGAGCAATTGAACGCAGGCGAATGCATGAGAAAGTTCATGAAATCGCTGTGGATCAAAAGCCAGTTTTGTCTCCCCCAGCCTCTGTTACATACCTTTATCGTGGCCTGTTGTTACATACCTTTGTCGCAAGTGCCTGGTAAGGGCATGCACAACAAAAAAGCTTGTCGCAGAGGCGCTTGTGGTAAGCCAGGGGAGTGTGTACAAGACTATTCCGCGGAATGGCCACCCAAGCCGTCACAAACCCAGTGTTCTTGATTCACAGCCGAATGCGCACCCGTCTTTGCTTTTGATGTCACTCCTCTCGCGAGGAAGTTTACTACGTAACCAGACGGCATCTGTGCAGGGAGCTGCAAGCTTTCTCTCACAACCAAAAGAAGAGGCTCATTTGTCCCTGAATCCAGGTGACGCTTGATTTTCGCATCGAAGCTGCAGTTGACAGTTGCAAATGCCTTGAAGATCTCTAGATATCTCAATTTTTGGGCAAGCACTTGCCTTGAGTTGCAAGCTTCAAAAGGCCGCTCAGCCTTTAACTGTTCGCAGTTCCTTCTAGAAAGCCAGGGAGCCGCAAGCAAAGAGCATCACCCAGCGCTTGCGCCACACGTCGGATTGCTCTCCCAACTTTCCGCCAATTGCTGGTATCTGATGCCACGGGTAAGTCCCAGCAATAACCTGAGGAGCGATTGCCATGTTGCAGAACTCTTGCTACCAGCACCTGCCTAGCCCCACATACTTGCAGCTAAGCCACTGTGAGCATGACAATGAGCGTGCAGACTATCACTTTACATTTCCGGGAAGTTCCTCTGGTGAACCCACTTCCAGGAAAGTGAAGGACCCCAAGGAAGAGTCCACAGAGTGCTCCCAAGAATGGAGGCGCGGCCCGACCCCCCGTACCTGATCCGCACGTCAACTTCAGGAAGCAAGAAGCCGAGGCAACTCAGAGATGAACTTAAAATGACCTCGGCCTGGGTCATCCCAGAAATTGACCGTTACAAAGCCGAGGACTACCAGGATGAAGCCGCAAACCAGTCGCCTCGGGGTACCAATCCCAAAGAAGGGAGAGTGCCTTCAGGCTTTGTGTAGAATCTCCGTGCCTCTTTAAGCCAGGCACGCTTGCCATAAGTTAATGAAAGTGCATTGCTTTTCTCAGGCTACCTTGAGCCTGCCAGCGGAAATTGGCATGTCGTTCTTGCAAACATGTCGCACCCATGTTCGTGCTGCATCTCGCATTTACTACTAATTACCAGGTTCGCGTTCAGAATGGGCGCAGACTGAGCGCATGCTTTGAGACTACTCATGGCTTGCAAGAAGGACCAAACAGCCTGGAGAGACGATTGCACTTGATCCAGTGCTAAGGCAAAATACGCGCAGGGCGACATGCACGTTGCTACGAATTGCGGAGGATGCCGTTGCATCCACCGCCTTATCCGAATCGTTTGCACGCACACGGCCCCAAAGCAAGAAAGCAATCCACATTTACTCGCTCGTTCCCACATTCAGCTGGAGCCAAAGTCGCACAGATTTGCGGTCACAGCTGCACAACAAACACTGAGAAGCCCCAACGCAGCAGGCAGAAGCAGCAGCAGATGTTTTTTTCAATAGGTGTGGCTCACCCTGTTTTTTTTCATCTGTGTGGTTCATCTATTTTTCGGGGGGCACGCTCATCCTTGTGACTGTTGACACTTTTTGCACGCCAAAAAGATATGAGAGTCCAACAACGATAACAATTACAAGGATGGCGAGCGCGACCCACCTGATCCTTGTAACTGTTGACACTTTCCACATCTTTTTACACGCCAACAAGACATGAGAGCCAAAAACGATGACAGTCACCGGGATGGCGACTGCGACCCGCCTGATCCCTGTGACTATTGAGACTTTTGACACAAATAAGATATGCGTGCAGGCGCTTTTTTGTCCTAACGTTTCACGTGCTGGTCCCTGCTTTACTTCACAAATGGAGCCACAAACGTGGCNNGAGCTCGCAATGGTGTTGTTTGCCGCGTTTGTGTAATCTTCCAAGAGGCACAAATCTAGTTGATGTTGCCATCTTCGTAGCTTCTCCAGAATTCCAAATTCAATGTACTCAACCTCTCAACATTTCCAACTGGTGTGCTTTTGCCGTTTTGCAACCTTTTCCAAAGCTCGAGATGCTGTTATTTACGGTGTTGGCAGCCTAGATGACAGAAGTACTCCAAACG